AGCAGAAATATTATCTTTTACTTTGAAGAAAGTCAACAACTACAGGTTAACCTAAAATAAAGCATACTAATTAATGGCAAATATACCTGGTAAACACCTGGCAAAACCAGTTAACATTTTAAAAGATAAGGATACAAATGCCTTAATTAGAAACGACAATGCTATTAATAACACATTTAAAAGCTTCCATGAAAATCTATATAAATCAGAATTAAATAACAGTGACTGATCCTATAGCCTTCTTAGACTCAATAACCCTGAAGCAACTATCAGCAGATATAAAATTATCACAAAAAATGGAAAACACCCCAAAATCAATATTAGACACTGTTAAAACCTTTGTGTGGAGAAAAGCACCAGGGATGGACGGCTTTCCCATTGAATATTTTTAATATTATGGGACAAAGTAGCGCCCCTATTTACTCAAATGACATCACACATGTCACTCAATTCAGTGCTTCCAAGTTCCATGTATCAAACAGTTATCTCAGTTATATTAAAACCAGGATCATCTGGAGAGTCCCCTGCAGATTACAGACCCATACATTTAATAAATTGCGACAATAAAATAATACAAAACTCATAAGCAACAGAATGGCAAAAGTTTGACCAGACTTGAAACATATTAATCAAACAGTCATTATTAAAAATAGACACTTACAAATGAATACAAGTACAATACAATATGCAAAGAAACAAGATGCAGATTTATTAGTAATGGCCTTTTCTATTAAAAACTTTGGAAGCATTCATTTTTCCATCTGAAATAATACATTTCATACAAATATTATATAAATATCCTAAAGCAAAAATATACACAAATAATATATTATCTGGTGAAATTGCTTTAGAAAGGGGCATGAAACAGGGATGTCCTGTCTCCTCCCTCCTGTTTGCATTGGCAATTGAACCGCTTGCAGAAATAATTAGACACAGGACCCAAATGTAAGAGTTATTAGTATTGGTAAACATGAATATAAACTAAACGTATTTGCCGACGATCTCCTGATATACCTGACTAATATTGAAAACTCAATGCCCCCCTTGTCAAAAATATTTTCTGAATACTCTACAATCTTAAGATATAAAATTAATGTGGAAAAAACTGAAATAGTGTCAATAGGAAAAGAAAAAGAATAACTCATGATCTACAGCAATCCTTTCAGTGGACCACAAAAAATATGAAATGCTTAGGATGCTTAATAAGTGACAAAAACAACCATTAAAAAAAGAAAAGAAAAAAAAGAAACTTTATCCCATTACTCAACATGAAAGCAGATCTAATTAAATGGAACAATCTCCCCATTCATCTTATAGGTAGAATATACCTCTTTAGAATGGCATGGCTCCCAAAGTTTGTATATTTATTTTCACTAATACATTATTTAAAAAAGTATACTCACCATAACAGACTTTATATGGGCAAATAAAACTCAGAATATATAGGAAAGTTTTACATGTCCCTAAATCTGAGGGTGGTTTTAACTTCCCAGATTGGGAAGTGTGTCAACTCGCCACCCAAGGCTTTTAGGTGGCTTTTACTTGCGACATATTGTTAAATGCACTAAAGAGAAACAATGGGTACATATTGAACATGTGCATGCTCATCCCCAGAATCTTTTCACTTGTCTGTTTTGAAAAGATGGAGCTAAGAACATTAACAACTTCATAGTAAAGAACACTATAACAACATGGGCGAAAATGAAACGCATTATACAATAACCAATATCACTCCCTAAAAACACACATTTTTACATTACATTTTAGTCATTTAGCAGACGCTCTTATCCAGAGCGACTTACAGTTAGTGAATACATATTTTATTATACTGGCCCCCTGTGGGAATCGAACCCACAACCCTGGCATTGCAAACGCCATGCTCTATCAACTGAGCTACATCCCTGCCGGCCATTCCCTCCCCTACCCTGGACCAATTGTGCGCTGCCCATGAGTCTCCCGGTCGCGGCCGGCTGCAACAGAGCCTGGATTCGAACCAGGATCTCTAGTGGCACAGTTAGCACTGCGATGCAGTGCCTTAGACCACTGCGCCACTCACCGCTATGAAACAATCCTTGGATAGCTTTTCAGAATTCACAGATAAATTGGCCCACATGGAAAACTAAAGTCATAGAAACCGTAAATGACGTGGTAGTAGGAAATACAATTATTTCCATGACAGAATTAAAAATATCTATGCAACGTAAACGTTTTCTATCACGGAATTTCGACCTGAAAGCTTTTGGACATCAGAGCAATGTTGAGGGAATCCTATTTGAGTCAGAAAAAGATAGTCATATGTTAAGTAAGATATACCAAACCTTGCAGAGAGCCTATCCACCTGACAATCTCTTAGAAAAAAATATAAACTACTGGAACCAAGACTTAAAAATAACTGAAATTACAGTTAACAAAAATATACGCTTAATCCAGTATAAACTAATCTATAGAATTTATTATACAAGAGACAAAATTCACAAATTCTACAGCACAACTTCAGAGTCACATCTTAAGTGTAAAACTAACAATGACTCAATAATTACTTATTTTTGGGAGTGCTATAAAGTCCAAAAGTTATGGGCAGTTAGAAAGCTGGCTGTCAGAAGTTGTATAATGTAAATTTACTTTTAATCCGTCTATCTGCATATTTCAAGACATGTCATATGGGGGTGCGGTGAGATACCCAATGGGTTGGACAATATTATTTTCGTCATTTATATTGAAGAAGCTATGACTTAAATACTGGAAGTCAAACGATACCAGCGTTAAGTGAATGGAAGAATCAAGCTCTTTATTATTTCAATATATTTTGCAAAAAATCTTGCTACAGACAGAAACAACATGAAGCAATTTGAAGTCATATGGGCAGAGTCTTAGAAGCATTAGAAACAACATTGGGTGTGGTTACTGTGGGAACATGTGGAAATGTACGTAAATGTTAAGTTGTCTATTGTTTTTGTCTATGTATGTTTTGTTTATTGTAAAAAATAAATAAATAATAAGTTAAATAAATAAATAAAAAATTCAAGAGATGTGTGTCTCCGAAAGCTGAAGTGTGTGTATATTCATGGCTGGAGGTTGATGTGTGTGTGCTGGTGTCTGCCACTCCTCTCCTCTCCCAGGGGACAGCAGAGTGACAGAGAGAGACCCAGGGATAGATGGAGCAGAAAACGACAAAAAATCACAGATAATCAGCCTGAGAGTCAGGAGGATGCCTTCAAATATTAATCAGCTGTTAAAAGGTCTGGTGGCATTTACATGGGTGTGAGGTCTCCATCTCCTTAATCTCACACTGTCACCTCCAACAACACACTTTTATTTTAATAGTGTATGCATGTGTGTGTGGCATGTGTGTCCGTATGTGTGTGTGTGCGACATCTCCATGCATGAGTGGCCTGTGTGTGTGTCTTGCATCAAAAATACATACAGCTGCGTCTCCCTACTCCCTTCATCGTTGTATTGTTATTTTTCCCCTCCAATGGCTCTGGGTCACGGCAGTGTGTGTGTGTGTCACATTTGCATTTGTAGATGCCTTTTCCTGCTATTCTCTCATCTGTCTCACCATCTTTAACACATTATGATCAGTAGAGTTACACTCAACTGGCAGGCATAACATCACACTGTATTTCCATTAGCTACATTATATGATTGTTAATAACATTCCCATCTGTCTCCTGTTATGTTGTAATGTAGTCTAACAAGGTGACGACTGAGCTGTTTACTGTCTGCGATCTGAAGATGACAATGCTCTCTGGATCACAGGTAGCAACTAGTCAGTGAAGATCAGTTATAGTCACTAATTACGACTTGATGTATTAGCTGTGGCACAGTCCCCATAGAAATGTGTGATATCAGGTGTGACATTACAGCTTGAAGTCACGAGATTACACTTTTCTCTGTTTGTCAGCAGCCATTAGTCAGATGGGAGAAATACACACACACGCACGCACGCACACACACCTCTGAGGCTATCTGAAAGGATTCTGGGTAGTGAGAAATATACAGGCTAAAGATAGTCCTTATGGATATGCAGGTAGGCTATAAATAGAAGTAGAGAGAGAGACAGAGAGACAGCATGGAAAACAGACCACATGCCTTATCAGACGCACACACACACACACACACACAGACACACAGACACACGCACACACACACACACACACACACACACACACACACACACACACACACACACACACACACACACACACACACACACACACACACACACACACACACACACACACACACACACACACACACACACACTGTAGTGGAGCTTCTATTTCAGTAGTTTGCCATTAGGGGCAACAGAGGCTTTGTCTATGTGTTGCCATAGAGACAAGACAGTACAGCAGGGTAGAGGGCAGTCTGAAGAGAACGTTTCTCAAGTTTCTAACTGCTGATCAGAAACTCCCTGGAGACAGCGGATAAAATTGCCTTGGATCTGGAGGATTATTTTCAGACTGTCTTCGAGGAACAACTCTTATTGTGAGTTTGTATGTGTTTGTGTTATGCTTCCACTAGTAGGGTTGTGTAAAGAAACACAGATTTATGTCCACTGAAAGTTTCTGAGTTCTGTGTGTGTGTGTGCGTGTGTAGAAAAATGCCTGTGCAGGACAAAGGTCTGATGAGTGGAGCCACATAGATGATTGAGAAACAGAGAGAGATCAGAGAGGTGGATAAACAGCTCCAGACAAACAGAGAGGTGAGGATCTATGTTCTTATTCATAATAATCATAGCAATCATAAAAACAAAGTGACAAAAATGTGACTATCGGAGTTAACATACGGAGAGATGAGGTGATGAAGAAGGAGGAGAAACTGAAGGAGTCGCTGCTCGAATTTGACAAATTCCTCATAGTGGGTGGCTAACACACACACACACACAAACACAAACACACACACAGACACTGGAAAAACCATCATAGTCACATGTGCCGTCTTGCAGGAGAACGACGCAAAGCGAGGTCATGGTAAGAAGGCGGCAGAAAGAGAGAGGGATGCTGTGTGTCAGAAAGAGGGAGGGAGAGACGGAGGAGTGCGCTATCCTGGAGGCTTGCAAACTGAGGCTGCAGCGCAGGGTGGAGATTGCCCTCTACTGGACCTTCCTGGAACAGGTCCTCAGACTGGCCAAGGTACCAACGATTGGCACTCACTAAGGCCTTGTCACACTACTGACTGAGACAAAGATTTCTGGGAAAATTGACTAGAACGTTTTCGGGAAAGTTACCTGGGAAAATTACCTGGGAAATTACCTGTGTGTGAAAATCTATAATATCAGGTCGTTGATTTGTGCCAATTTGAAGTTTGAAGTTTCTGGGAAAGTTACGGAAAGGTTTCCTGGAAGGATATCTAGAAAATGACCTGAAAAGTTATAATGGCTAAACCTCTTTTCTAGGTATTATCATGGATCCACCCGGAGAGCCAGGCCATCATAGCCTACAATCCCCCTCCTGAGAAATGTGTTTATCTGTTCAACTTCAGAGCATTTAAAAAGCTCCCATTTTTCCTATGGGATCAGTGCACATGCTTTCTCTTGGAAATGTGGGCTGATTCATCTACCAGCTCATGTTTGTTGCAAATGCCATGTCCACATCCCAGTTCAACCCAAATCCCAGCCTCAACCACTAACCTAATCCTAGCTTCATGTTCAAATGTATAACGTGTGCATGTGTATATGTAGTAAGAGGAGGTGTGGGAGCTGCTGGGGAGGTTTGCCACCTTGCTATCCACCAGAGATTATTTGCAGCAGAGGGAAAAGGAGGTGCAGGATCAGGCTGACGGCCAACGGGGGGCACTACAAAGATACACAGACCAGCAGAGCTTCAGCATTCTGCAGAAGAAAAACCTGCTGTCTCAGCTACAGACAGAGCTAGACCAGATACGCTCCAACACTCTCAGATGGGTACCAGACCTGATCACACACTCACAGACCTTTAGATGGGTCCCAGATTTACCATGTATTATAGTCCATGTGTCTCTGTCCAGACTATAAAACGTTTTTTGGGGGGGTTCAGGAGAGCACATGGTACCACATCCAAACCACAGCAGTAAAGGAGACGCTTCTATTGGGCCAAATCAAAGAGGTAACCTTTAGCCTTTACCACATGATGGGCGGGACCGCAGGGCAGGAAGAGGGAGTGGCCATCAATGACACAGTGACCCAGCTGGAGAAGGTTAGTGATGTCATTATGTCATAGATTGAGGTTTGTGATGTCACAGATGGAGTAGATGTATGATGTCACAGCTGGAGAAGGTCAGTGATGTCACAGTGATGTTACAGATGGAGGTTTGTGATGTCACAGATAGGGAGGGTTAGTGATGACAGCTGAAGGTCAGCTATTGCAGCGTTCATTTGCTAGTCGGAACTAGGAAACTCTAAATTTCCAACTTGCTGTTTGTAGTTATACACGTGCCGCGTTCAATGAATCAGCAAGTCTGATTTTTGAGTTTCCTAGTTCCGACTAGCATATGAATGTGGCATATGTCACAGTGATGTCAGAGTTGGAGAAGGTTAGTGATGTCACCTTATTGTCACAGCTAGAGAAGGTTAGTGATGTCACAGTTAGAGAAGGTTAGTGATGTCACAGTGATGTAGAGTAGGGGAGAAATGAATTTGCTAACAGTAAAATCTAAATGTATTTTTCTCTCCAGACCCAGCTCTTCATCCAGCCATAGTTATCAACCTCAAACAGAGCCCTTCTCAGCTTACTACAAAAGCCAATTTGAAGTGAGCAGGTGGAGGATGATCAAGTGGACAGACATAGGATCCTGTAGAGCTTATTGTTGGGGGTTGATATTACATATATTGTGTTGTTTCCACACAAATACTAATGTAATGATCAGCAATGTGCAGCAAACGTGCCATGATGACAATAATACTTCTGCAATTAGTCTAGTACTGACAACTAGTGGCAACCAGAGGGAATAATTACTATACACACATCAATAGAGGGCCTACTAGTGTTTCTCAAGCCTCGATCAAGTGTATCCAACAATTGCACTGTGTCAGTATTCTATTATTCTGACCATGCAGTGTTGCATAACAATTATACAATTGTTGAGTTCTATTTATACTGCTTTATTAATACCTCATGCACTGTATATGTTTCAATAAAAATCTTCAGAATGGTTCAAAACAAAAATCCCCTTTTTTTTAAGGAACACTTTGGCATTGTTGTTGAACAAAGAGATAAAATAAAACATGGCATAGTAATCAGAAAATAGTCATCTAGTGCTGCGTTGACACCTAAAAGACAAACATACAAAAGAAGAAAAGGAAAATTTGCGTGTTTTTGGAGTGCTGCCACATCTTTTCCACAAATATAAAAACCATGCTAGCCTAATAGGCTGTCCTGGTCTGACTGAGTTTTCCACAGGACAACTGCTGTTATTTGCCTTTCTTCCCCCTCATGGCCTTGCGGACACGGTGGCCACTCCAGTAGGCCTGGATCAGGGTGGCAGCGTGGCTCCTCTTTCCCATCTCTCTCTGCTCCTCCTCCCTCCCTCCTCAGCCACACACCACTCATCCTAGACCTGACTGAAGTCCTCCTCCAGGACAGCATAGAGTACCACAGTAATGAGTCATAATATCCATAAAACCTAGCAGTCAAACACAGAAATGGTTCCAATCGTTTTTCCACCATTCATTTTTCCCATAGGGGATTTTAGAAACACTTCAAATAAGGGCTGTGTTTGTGTAGGCTTACCCTGGCGTGATGTTTTGATAACCTTGTAAATCTCTCTCAGACAAGGTGACTTTTATCAATATATTCGCCTGTATTTACCCCCCTCCCCTCCCCCCCAAAAATAAAATGAAATGCTAATTAGCTGCTAATGTGGCTATCATACAGAACTGACTCAAGCTTCACGTCACTCACAAGGGCCACGATGATCTGGACGAGACTGCCGAATCGAGGCAAGAGTAAATTTCTCTGGATTAACTATCTAATGTTAGCTACATTTAGTAATTTATAAATTGGCTAAATTTGTTTAAATTGACAATTCTGTGTACTGTCTTGGGCAAGTTTCTAAATGTACACAATACCTGTTATCTAGCTCGCTAGCTCAAGGTTAGCTAGCTAGTTAGCAACATTAGCCTGGCTAGATGGCTACATTAGTCGTCTGTTTGTCTAGCCATTTAAATGCATGAGAAATTAATCAAAACAAGTTTAGCTTTCTTTGGCTTTTATAAACCAACAGTCTACCATGCTAGTTAACTAGCTATCTAACTTAGATTAAGGTTAAGCTAGGTGTTCTTGATAATGTTTGTTTCTGTCTGTGTGTGAGGGGTGGGTAACCTACTTTAAGTAGCCTACTACTTGACTTGTAGCTACCCTAGCTAGCTGTATTATTTTGGTCTGGCTTTTTGAGAGGTTTCAGAGACGGACTGATTAGCTTCTCTTGAGTCAACAGTGTGCTTACTTTACTGAGGGGAAGACATTGATCTGTTTGCTGTTACCCTCTGGACAGCAGATCATTCGTTTAGCTTCAAGGCATGGTTATGTAACCTTATTTAGTCCCACTTGCTATGATGGGTTTTAAATTAAATGGTTTTCACAGCTCTAATACCTGACTTAAATAATCAACATAACAAATGCCTTGATATATAACACCTGCTCCACTTTCAAGTTGAATTTGAACTGATGCCAGGGCGGCGGCTGCTAAGAAGAAGGGAGCAGCTGCAGACCAGAAGACTGCAGCCAAGGCAGCACTGGTACACACCTCAAATCAAATGTTATTGGGTGCGTACACATATTTTGCAGATGTCATTGCCAGTGCAGCAAAATGGTTATGTTTCTAGCGCCAACAGTGCGGTAATACCTAACGATACAAAACACTACACACAAATCTCCAGAAAAAAGGAGCTAACTCTGCAGACAGCAATACTGGGTGATTTGAAAAGTCATAGTCAATCAATCAATAATACTTTTAGCAAAAATGTTTATCATTAATTTACAATCTGCAGAAACTATGAGAATAGAAAGGTTCAGAACTTTTGTGAAACATCACAGCACAGTTGAAAAAATATATGGCAAATAGAAATCCAATATGGATGGTGTTAAGAAATAGATGGGAGGGGTTGAATGGAGCTGAAGGGTGGGACTAATAACAACAAGATAACTAATGTAAAATATACTGTGTCCGTAAATGTATATAGGTTAAGAACTCTTGTGAAACAGCACAGTTAAAAATATATGGCAAATAGAAATCAAACTGGATGGACATCAGAAATAGATGGGAGAGGTTAAGGGTAGAGGAAGGACTAAAAACAAACAAAATAGAACTATTGTAAAACAGATTGTGTCCGTAAAATGTATATAGTGTGTATAAGCTGGATGTAGAAGCTTAAGTATTGTTGTTCATTAGTTTATTCCAATTAGGGGAGTTAGTGGAAAATAATAAAGGAAAATATATTTGTAAAATATATGTATATATACAGTACCAGTCAAACGTTTGGACACACCTACTCATTCAAGAGTTTTTCTTTATTTTTACTATTTTCTACATTATAGAATAATAGTGAAGACATCAAAACTATGAAATAACACATATGGAATCATGTAGTAACCAAAAAAGTGTTAAACAAATCAAAATATATTTCATATTTGAGATTCTTCAAAGTAGCCACCCTTTGCCTTGATGACAGCTTTGCACACTCTTGGCAATAGGGGGTTAATACTTTCTGAAGGCACTGTACATATGAAGTGGGTTAAACAGTATGTAAACATAATTAAAGTGACCAGTGTTCAATAACTATGTACATATAGGGCAGCAGTCTCTAAGGTGCAGGGTAGAGTACCAGGTGGTAGCTGGCTAGTAACAGTGACTAAGTTCAGGGCAGGGTACTGGGCGGAGGCCGGCTAGTGGTGACTGTTTAACAGTCTAATTGGCTGTTAAATAATCTACCCTCTCTGTCGGGTGAGTATTACTGGTTGGTACTGTATGTGCCTTTAGGTTCCACTCCATGTGTAGGCTATTGTACCAGCCTGTGTGGTAGTCTTTCATATGTGTAATAGTTTGTTGCATCATATTGCTTAGTTTATAATTTGTGCCACAGATTGTTAACTTCCTCCATGTTGTACTTGACCTTTATAGATGCAGACCTGAAGACATTCAAGCAGCACTTTGAGAGCAAGCATCCCAAGTCTCCAATGTTCCCAGTACTGGTTGATGTAAAGGCCTAAGTGACCACACACACTCAAATGGACCTACAGCTGGGGTAAGATTCTTCCATCATTCACACACAGTAGACATAGTGTAAACCACCATGTTGTCAACAAAATGCTGTCGTCAATGCTTAAGTTGTATTGTGTATGGCTCAATTTGTGGAAATGCTGTGATCACTCATCGTCTTTAAGGTTGTGATTCACAGAGAGCAACTGAGACGGAATGACTTTGAGGGACACACACTGAGACCCTGAGTATGACTGGACATGGGCCGAATATTTGTAACAACATCCTAAAAGGGGTGCAGAAGCACACCAGCACCCCATTGAATGTTTATTCCATGGCCAACCATCCCTCTAGCTACCCCTTATTCCATACTATGACTTTTATGCCCCATGGTACCACAACCTCAGACACTTTGGAACTCTCCATCTTATCTCTATAAACTCCCCTACCTTCACTCCATCTATCTCTAAACCCCCCTTCGTAGGAGCATCATTATATCTCGAAGCTGTTTCCCAAAACCATTGTTATTAACGTTGCACTTGAAAATGCTTGTAATCTAGTGCCTTTCTCAGACAACTCGTTGAACAGTTTATACACTGAAGATGTCACGCCCTGGCTCTGGGGACACTTGTATGTTGAGCCAGGGTGTGCGTTTCATTTGTTTATCTAGTAGTTGCATTTCTATGTTGGCCAGATTGGTTCCCAATCAGAGGCAACGAGTGTCAGCTGTTGCTGGTTGTCTCTGATTGGGAACCATATTTATACAGGCTGTTTTCCCACAGTTGTTGTGGGATCTTGTTTCTAGTTGGTTTGTGTTAGACCGTGAACTGTCACGTTATCGTTTTGTTTATTTTGTCAATATATCGCTAAATAAAGAGTATGTTTGCCTGCAACACTGCGCCTTGGTCCTCCTCTGTTTCCGACGAGCGTGACAGAAGATCCCACCAAAACTGGACCAAGCAGCGTGTCCAGGAGCCATCGCCAGGGGAATCGCTAGCAGATCTCCGTGGCAGCCTCGACTGGG